TTCAAACCCACCAGCCACTCCAAGGGAGGAAGATGTGGCGTCTGCTTACATAAATAATACAGTCCTGGAAACCCTGTGGGGTAGTTCTATTCTGTCCTATAGAGTCTCTATGAGTTGGAATCGACTCAACAGCAATGAAAAGGCATGAGACTCATCCTGTGTCAGAGACCAAGGACTTTATCACTCACAGCGACAACAGTATCCCCATTAGCATCATTTTCTTCTGCTGGTTCCCTGAGTCCCAGTTCCCACAGCATGATGTGAAGAGGGCCAATGGCACCACCTCATGTAGTGGGTTTTATTACAGGAGAGGAGAAGCTGCCCTGAACTTAGGGAACCCACATCTTTTTACAATGGGTAGTAACCATGCTTGCTCTTTGCTCAAGAGGGAGACATTATCTTTGTCTCCCAAGAATGTACCATACACACACATTCTTAGACACATAATCTGGAGCAAAAGCAGCCATTGCTTCTGCTACTTTTAAGAACCAAGGAAAACTGTCTCCCAACACTTACTCTGCATAATCCTATAGTCTGAAATTATTTACTTCACTAAGTAGAAATTGCTAAGTAGCTGACATGTTCTTGGGTGGTACAAATAGTCAAGTACTCAGCTGCTAACCCAAAGGTTGGTGGTTCAGATCCACCCAGAGATGCCTTGGAAGAGAAGCCTGGCATTCTACTTCCAAAAAATCAGCCATTGAAAACCCTATGGAGCACAGTTCTACTCTAACATGTGAGATCCCCTGAGTCAGAATTAAATTGACAGCAACTGGTTTAAGAAGCTGACATGGAGACTCTATAATCAGATTTACCATAGTTGTTTTAAGTCACCCGTGATAAATAGCTCATATTTCTCACACCATGTAGGATTTACTAAGTGACCTTACCTGTCCAAGTCTCATTTTTTAAAATGAGAAAAATAATAGTGCCTACCCCACAGAGCTGTTGCTAGCATTAGATAACATAATGTATAGAAAACACTTAAGAGAGTGCCTGACATGTAGCATGCACACACAAAAAGTTATTGTTGTTGTCTCAAAAATTATTAAAATTAGTTGACTTAAGAGAAAGCTCTTCCCAAGGTCAGTTGAGGATGCTGGGAAAATTCCCGCCAATGATAACTAGCTAATTCTCTAACTCCGGGGTTGATCTTAATATCCCAACTATCCTGGGGTGTTGGGCAGTTTGTCCTGCTCGGTCGAACAGTGGCATTGTGAGACTGACAGTTTTATGGGCAAGCAGGAAGCCTGATGAGGTAAGGTTGTCTTTGAGTGATTCTAGGGTAAATACATCTGAGTATCTCCAACTCAATTGCTACCATGGCATGTTTGCTCTAAGTTCCTAATAAGTATTAACAGTCAAATTCTAATCTTTTCTGAAGAAACATTTTTTTATCATCTGGCCATCTTAAGCTCTCAAGAGGTAAAGTTTTGGGGATGCTACTGCAAAGAGAAGTAAACTGTATATAGTTTATTTTGCTGAAATAATAAGTGTTTCTAAACAGGAGCATTGTATGAAATTCTATTCAGATTTTCCGTTCCTATTATCCCCAGGTGGTGCAGTGGTTAAGAGCTTGCCTGCTAACCAAAGGGTCGGCAGTTCGAATCCACCAGCTACTCCTTGGAAACCCGGTGGAGCAGTTCTACTCTGTCCTATTGGGTTCCTGTGAGTCGGAATCAACTCAACGGCAACGGGTTTGGTTTTGGATTTTTATGAGCCCCAGGAAGAAAGGTAGCAGAGAGAAGGGATTAGGGGCTTGTGAGTGGAGGCCTCGTCGAGTTCAATTCATCATGTCCCTGTTTGTTTAGAATAGGTTAATGAGTTTTGATTTTGATCCATGCCAGAAGAACAAACAAGTCTGTCTTGGAAGAAATACAGCTAGCGTGCTCCTTGTAAGAGAGGTTGGTGAGACTATTTGGTTTTCTCACTATTAAAAGCACTTAAGTGTAGTATGTATTATGGTACATACACATAATGAAATACTATGCAATGATAAAGAACAATGATGAATCCACAAAACATCTCACAACACGGATGAATCTGGAGGGCATTTGCTGAGTGAAATTTAGTCAGTCACAAAAGGACAAATATTGTATGAGACCACTATTACAAGAACTCAAGAAAAAGTTTAAACACAAAAAAAATTCTTTGATAGTTACGAAGGTGGAGGGTGAAGGGGAGGGGAGGGGAAATCTCTAACTAGATAGTAGACAAGGATTAACTTCGGTGAAGGGAAAGACAACACACAATACAGGGGAAGTAAGCCAACTGGACCAAAGCAGAAGCTAAGAAGTTTCCTGGACACATCCAAATACTTTGAGGGACAGAGTAGCTGGGACTGGGGCCTGGGGACCAAGTTTCAGGGGACTTCTAGGTCAATTCACATAACGAAGTTTATTAAGAAAATGTTCTACATCCCACTTTGGTGAGTGGCATCTGGGGTCTTAAAAGCTTGTGAACAGCCATCTAAGATGCATCAATTGGTCCTATCCCACTTGGAGCAAAGGAGAATGAAGAAAACCAAAGACACAAGGAAAATATTAGCCCAAAGGACTAAAGGACCACCTGAACCAAAGACTCCACCAGCCTGAGACCAGAAGAACTAGATGGTTCCTGGCTACCACCAATGACCACCCTGATAGGGAACACAACAGAAAGTCCCGGACAGAGCAGGTGAAAAATGCAGAGCAGAACTCAAATTCACGTAAAAAGATCAGACTTAATGGTCAGACTTAAAGGTCAGAGACTGGAGGAACCCCCGAAACTATGACCCCTGGATGCACTGTTAACTCAGAACTGAAGCCATTCCTGAAGCCCACTCTTCAGACACAGAATAGACAGGACTATAAAACAAAAAATAATACACATGAGGAATGTGCTTCTTAGTTCAAACAGATCTACGAGACCAAATGGGGAGCTCCTGTCCGAAAGCAGGATGAGAAGGCAGGAAACGACAGGAGCTGGCTGAATGGACACAGGGAACCCGCGGTGGAAAGAGGGCTTGTGCTGTCACATTGTGGAGACTGCAACTAATGTCACAAAACAATACATGTATAAATTTTTGTATGAGAAACTAACCTAAGTTGTAAACTTTCACCTAAAGCACAATGTTTTAAAAAAAGAAAGTACTTAAATGTTTGTTAAGTCAAAGAAACAATTCCTTACAGAGTTTTGTGAGTGAAATACATATATATTTTTCATTTGGTATATATGTGTGTGTTTATATATATACATATATGTATATAGCAAATCCTCATGGAAGGCAAAACCTTTCATTGACATTTAACATGAAAAGAACTTGCCTACCTGTTGTTGTAAGCTTCTCCTTGGGAACACTGAGACATGTAGAAAACAGTTTCCTTGACAATATCCCTACAGCAATGTGCAGTAGAAAATGATCCATAATTACGTATAGAGTCTTTGATAAAAGTTAGTGACAAATGTCAAAATGTAACTCAGTAAAAATACTGAGACAAATGGTCAAACATACACCTTTCCAATGGCCTGGCTTGATCTGAGAGTGAGAATCCCAACCCACTTTCTAATATGGTAGAGGTTTATATGTCAGTATTGTGTTGAAGTGTCTGGTGGTGTATACATAACAATTATTGTTGTTGTCATTAGGTGCTTTTAAGTTGGCTCGAATCAGAGCAACCATTTGTATAACAGAATGAAACGGTACCTGGTCCCGCACCATCCTCACAGTCGTTGTTTAAGGCTATTGTTGCTGCCAGTGTGTCACTCCATCTCATTGAGTGTCTCCCCCTTTCTCAATGACCCTCTATTTTACCAAGCATGATGTCTTTATCCAGGGTTTGTCCCCCCACCCCATAACATCCAGAGTTAGCGATATGAAGTCTAGCCATCCTCGCATCTAAGGAGCATTCTGGTGGTACTTCCTCCAAGACAGATTTGTTTGATCTTCTGGCAGCACATGGTATGTTCAGTATTCGTCCCCCAAACCACAATTTGAAGGTATCAGTTCTTCTTCAGTCTTCCTTTTGCATTTGAAAAATGGCAAGGGTCCGGCACACCTTGGTCATCAAAGTGACACCTTTGCTTTTTAAACACTTTGAAGAGGTCTTTTGCAGCAGGTTTGCCCAATGCAGTAAGTCATTTGATTCTGACTGCTGCTTCCGTGGGCATTGAGTGTTACTACAAGAAGAATGAAAACCTTGTCACCTTCAATTTCTTCACCGTTTATCATTATGTTGTTTATCGATCCAGTCGTAGGAATTTTTGTTTTCTTTATGTTCAGGTGTAATCCATACTGACGGCTGTAGTCTTTTAGACATCAACAAATAACTCATCTTGTGCTTTTGGACAAATTGCTTAACCTATGAGGATGTCAAACTTTCTAATCTCTAAAACTCTCTGATTTATGAGAATTGGATCTTGAAAATAGGAGTTATGCAATAGCCATAGTATAATCCTTAGTCAAATTTTAAGGAAGAATAAAAAGAATTGTACAGTGGTAATTTTATAGCTCTCAGGGGTCTTTATGATTTATGTTAAATGTAATAGTAGTTCAGACATATCAACAATTAGTAACTTGATTATTGAGCAATGATTCCAACCAACTACTGGCATAACTTTTATAACCGTTGAAAGAACTGACCTTCAATAATGATTTTAGTGCAGGCTGTGAGACAGTGGTATAAAGCTGTTGGCAATGACCATACAGGCTTCTTCCATAATGGAGGGGGAATTTTCTCAGTAAATATCCAGGGATCTTTATGCACAGAGAGTCCTTCATTTCAAAATCTTTCTAACATCTGTAATTCTTGTGAATTCATCTCAACTTCACGAAATCTTTTGAAGAAAAAAAGAAAGTCAGGAAAGATGCCTTCAAGATCCTGTGCATGTATCCAGGATACCTGATACATCTGTAAGTTCCTGTCAAAACTAAGATAGCACTGGCTAGCCCTTTAGAAAGTTTGCAACTTGCCCAAGGGTCTGCCTGCAGGACTAATGTAAGCAATTGTTTCTGTTGTCCTAGGATGGTGCTGCTTCACTGGTGTTTGCTGTGGCTGCTCTTACCACTCAGCTCAAGGACCCAGAAGTTACCTACTCGAGATGAGGAACTTTTTCAAATGCAGATCCGGGACAAAGCATTTTTTCATGATTCTTCAGTAATTCCAGATGGAGCTGAAATGAGCAGTTATCTCTTTAGAGACACACCTAAAAGGTACGCTCCCTTCAGTACTTTCTGTACCAATACACTCATAAAGGATGTCTCCAAAAAAGGAAGTAACCTTTTAGATTTAGTTTCGATAATTTGAAGATCAACCTATGAATAGCATTATCTGTTTCCTCTAAGTGAGAGAAAAATGGCAGTGCACCCACTAATCATTCAATAGAGGCTACTTGAGTCTTTCTGTTCGTGATCTCCTTTTGAGTGGAGGGGCAATACTTGGCATTTCTTGTATTTTAGACTGATTATTTTCTTATTTTCATTACAGGAGGAAATATCGAAGAAGAACTATGTAGGATTAAAATGAAATTACTTGAATACATATGATTCTTTAAGGCTTTGCATCAAGTTTCATAAGGATGATATTTCTTTAATATAATTAGATTCTGAGAGAATTAAACCAAACAGTGATAAAAACTGGCCATTAAGATCAACAATAATAAAGGACCATGGTGCTCTAAACCCTTCCACTTAGTGGCCCAGTCATATCATCATCTGGTCAGAGTGAATAATAGTAGATGATCAGTTTTCCTTTTGACTGAAGTGGTCTATTGTTGAGATACCATTTCAGCACTGCCAGAATGAGATGATTTCCTTTTGTTTGAATGAATGAAATAGATTAGGAACTGACATGTCAATAACATAAAATATTTAGGAATCTTTAAATGATTTTCATAAGAGTGAAAGCACAAAATGTAAGAATGATTACGTTGAAGGAACTTGATGTCCTAGCCCTTACTGAGGCTGAATCTGTGAAATCAGGAAAGGTATATGAGGCAATCCTAATATTTCAAATCAATCCTAAGTATCAGCTGAACTCTCACTGAACACATTTTGCTTTTTGTATAATTTTGTCTCTTGACATCTTTGACTGAATCAAATCAAATTAAAATTTTTCTTCAGAAAGCATTTTGATTTCCCAGATGTGCTTGCTTGTACTTCATTAGCTAAAACATTCCACATGATGTACTCATTTCACTTAATCAAATAAATAGTTTATTCTTGATTTTCCAGTCTGTCAAAAATCAAATAAGCTGTGGTTCCAAGAGTTATCTTAAAAATTACATTGCATTTTTTTTTTCCTTCAAAACAACATATTTTTATTAAGGAACATTATTTAAAAAAATCAACACTTCCTCTCTTTCTCCCTCCCTCCCTTCCCTCTTAGTTCTTTCATTTGTCTGTTCTTTCTTTTTGTCTTTTTTTTTTAACACATAGTTATTGGGATCCTTAGTTTCCACAATTGGATGAATAGTTAACTTACACAAAATAATGGCAGCTACCAATAGAACCATCATGTCTAGAGGTGAAATATGCAATTGGAAGCATACAGAGACATTGTTGTATTACAACTAAAGATGAACTTCCAGATAAAGTTCAGCAGCAGCCATAGAAAAAGACAATTGACAAATGCATTAATATTCTTGTGTTTATGCATAAATTCCAGTGGCTAAATTGTTCATAATGTGTTTATCCCTCTGTGTAGGCATTGTAACTTTGGACCATGTTTCTTAGTTATTCATTACATTCCTGTCTCCTTCACTAGCCAGTAAATACCTTGAGCATGTAGATCATGTCCTGTCATCTCTGGCTGCTGCCCTCTTCCGTGAGTGCTTTCTGCACGGTAGACAATAAATGTGTGCTAAATTGTTGAAGTTTTTTCAAGTTATCATTTATCCCTTATCATAAGTACTTGCATTTGAAACTGTTGACCTAGAGGGACACCCGGCTGTTTTAAATGTGTAATAATTACCTTGCAAGCATTGTTTTATTGGTTATTGGTCACTTATAGCCTGTTTTTAAGTTATTAAGACACAGTTGCTTACTTTGGGAAAGAAACTACTTGTTTATATGAAATGAGAACAGACGGTAACAGATGAACTTTCACATTGTTCAGTTCTGCTTTGGCTTCAGTTAACTTGATGCCCACATAAAAACCAACAACAAATAAAGCAAAAAGTTTGGAATATTTTTCTTTTTTACTTACGTGATGCTAAATAAATTACTTTACTGTACCTATTTCTTCATAATATGAATGGGTTCAGTTGTGTTTCCTGTGGCAAATGTCTCTTGTGCAGCTTGGCCAAGAAAACACAGTTCTCTCCAAGAAGTGGACTAAATTGGAAATTAAACCATTTGACACCTCTCTTTATGGATATTTATGGTACACAAAACTTTCCTTGCAGTAAACAATTCCATCATCTAGTTATTTTGTATGGATGATTGTCTTACTTCACTATTTTACAAACAAGTTGTTTTCGCTTGTGTAGGGCCTTCACTTTATTTATTCTCCCATTATTCTACTCCTACCCTCCATCTCCAAATTCATCTTTAAATAGTAAGGGGTGGGGGGGAGTACTGACTTTCTCCATTCAGATTCCATATCTTCAGATAGAAGTAACTCTAGGTGTCAATATCCTCAGACTAGAACAATAAGGTTAGTGTTAGGGTTCTTAGGTTCTATTCATTGATTTAGTAATGCATTCATTAAAAAAAAAAATACTTATCAAGTATCTACCACATGCACATATCTGTGCTAAATGCTGGAAATATAATGACACCGGAAATGAACCTGAAGTAGGCCCATGTGGAGAAAATAATATTAATCAAATAATAACACAGATTTATAGCTACAAATTGTGATAAGTACCCAAAGTGAAAAGTATAGGACACTCAGAGTATATAAGAGAACTTGATCCAGAATGAGGAATCAGAAAAGGCATCCTTGAAGAAGGGAAATTTAAATGAAAAGGTATTAATTAACAGGAGGGGACAAGGGGTGCACTTCAGGCACAGAAGAAACATCCAAAGGCTCTCAATTGGATTGAAGTTTGGGAAACAAGAGAAGCCCTATGTGATTAGAGCACAAAGCAAAGGGGACAGTGACATGACACAGGCTGGTGAGGTAGGCAGGGGCCCCATCACTGAGGAAGTTTTAGGCTATGTAAAGAATTGAGGACTGTATCCCAAAAGCAATCTAAAGCCATGAAGGGGTTCTAATCACATATAATAGATTGCTTTAATAAAAGTCCACTCTTGCTACAGTGTAAATAATGACTTGGAGGTGGTAAATGTGGATGTGTGGGAAACAGCTAGTCATTAATTAATTCAACAAATATTTACTGAGAATTATTTTAGTCTCTGAAGCTACATCGATGAACTAAAAGCCCTGCCCTCTTGAAGCTTTCATTCTAGCTGGGGGGGGATGGAAAAATAAAAAAGTAAACAACAGAATATTTAACACGTCAGGTAGTGATAAGTGCATTGAAGAAAAATGAAGTGGAGTAAAAGAAAGCTTCATGGGTAGGAAAGTGATCTATTACACAAAGGGCTAGAGTTGGTCTGTTGCATCCTTGAGTAGAAAGCTGATGGAAGTGACAGAGAAAGCAAGGTAGATATCTAGAGGAAGAGTATCTCAGGTAAAGTAACAGCCAAGTGCAGAGACCCTGAGGCAAGAGTACAGTATACCAAATATATTGCAAGATAGCAAGGAGCTGAGCTAAGGAAGCACAGAGTAGGAGGAAATGAGTTTAGAGATTTCTTTGGGGACCAAACATGAAGGGTCTTATAAGACATTGAAAGTTCTGTGGCTTTTACTCTGAATGCATGAGAAACTCTTGGAGGGCCTTGAGCAAGGGGGAGTAGTGTATTCTGACCTGGGATCACTCTTCCTGGGAAGGGGAGAATAAACTAAGAGGGGCAAGGGTGAAAGCAGGGACACCAGTCAGCAAGCTATTGCAATACTCAGGCAATCATGGT